AAGTTATATGGTATGTATTGGTACGTGTAGCAATGTAAATATAAAATATCTTGATATTTATTTTGTATTTAGCATGTACGATGCACAACGGCTATGGGTAGATATGTATTTTAGCAATGATGCGCCAGCGTATATGTCGAGAAATGTGCCAAAAATGTTTACAATATATAGCATGACTGAACAATATCTTAAACATTTTGACCTGGTTACATTACCGCCATCGGTATATGTGATTAAGGAGTGCGCTTACGCCAATGTGGCACCTGTAGGTCAAAATGTACGCAAACGTATATCAGTAATAATAGCATTGACCGAGGCAATTATTGCCGTGCTCAATCGCCCAGAATATTCCAATGTTACTTTGACATGGCAAGAAATCAATTATGATAATTAAGTTTTTGTGTTTTTGTTTTATAAACATTGTCTATATTGTTAATGTTTTTGTGCTAGAATTTTATTATAGTAATTTATTACTTTAATTTTAATTAAAATTAGATTTTTAATTAAGTTTCTAGAATCTAGATTATAAAAAATAAATATTAAACGTAATTATTAAACAAATGGGATCACTCTACCTTTTATAGTAATATGTTTTAAAGTTTTAATAATTTAATTATCGATGTTATTTTAAAGTTAATTATATTTTAACAAAATGAATGAATATGTTATATGTGCATATATTTTACTAGGTAATTATAATTAAACAATTTTAAAAGTTGCTTCTTATAATAATATAAATGCCCTAAGATATAACAAACAGTTGGATAATTTGCAATTTAAAATAGTTAATACTTAAAGAACTAAATATAAGATTAGATAAATATAATTACTAAATGTAACAACATATTATTTATTTATTTCAGTGTTTATTACGAGTAACTTATGTACTACTGATGTGAATGAAGCAAACGAGCTAGATAATGATCTAGCTAATATTGACCGCACAGGCAATCAAACACATCCATGGCCTACATCCGAAGCTGACATTAAAGAAAATATAACCAAGTAACTAAATTTCAACATGTTTATCACTCTGATAAACGTAGCAAGTTATACATTTAATATTGTAGTACATAAATATTAATAACAATATATAACAAAAATAATTAGTTTACATCACAAATGTTTACCAATAACACAATGTGAATATTTCAATATAAACATGTTATATATTACAAAATAATTAATTACTGTCTGTAGAATTAAACTAGACAAAAAATATAATTCGAAATAATTATTTAATTATTAATTAATTAATCAAGTTATATTTTTACAGCCACTACATATTTGCATTTCTAAAACTACACGCCTATGTATTGAAACATGTAAAAAACACAAACGTCCACATATTCATCAGGATCATTATAGCCGAGCGGCTACGATATTACAACGCGTGGTTAACTCACACGCGCAAGGTCAAATTATTTGCCAACTTAAACGAACATAATGAAACACTAGCAGAATCTAGGGCTAAGTTAATTAACGCTTACACTGCGATAAGTCTACATGGTAATAACTGGACTATCTACAATGTTATTTGGTATATAGCACTACGTTTAGTAATTTAATTATAAAATAACCTCGATATTCATTTTTTATTTAGCATGTACGATATACACCGCCTACAGATACAAACATTGATGTTTGGCCATGGTGCGCATGCACACGCGGACATGCCGATTGAATTGGCCCCGGTGTTTACAATAACTAGCATGACAGAAAAATATATGAAACACATTGACATAGTCAAATTACCGCCATCCAGATACATATTTGAGCACTGCGATTACGCTAAAATAAAACCTGTAGGTCCCAATGTCCGCAAACGTATATCAATCATAATGGCATTGACCGAGGCACTTATTGCCGTGCTCAATCGACCAGAATATGCTAATGTCACTTTGACATGGTAATCAATAAATATTATAAATTATAATTAAGTTATTTGTTTTTGTTTAATTTTTTAAAATGTTTTTTGTAATAATTAATCACGTACTTTATTAATTAATTAAACTCGCCATATGTGGGTAGAAATTAATTTATTTATTAATATTATAATAATTATTTATTACGTAAACAAACTCAAAATGGCCCAAATTTTTGGCTTGGTATTATTGATTGCGTGTAAGTATAAATATAAAATAGTAAGTCTACCATGATAAATTGACCATAATTACTAATACACAGCACAGGCACTATTGGCCTACGGGTTCAGTAACACTGACGACGAAACCATTGACTATCTATTGGCCGGCGCTAATCGCAATGGCGACCCAAGTAGGCTATGGCCCATAACGCTGACCTCGCTGGATCACGATATATGCGAGTAATACAATAAAATATAACAAAAACATAAACAACCATGCTGTAATTGTATTTGGTACTTGTTTTATACCCCATAGAAATATAGTGGACATCATGCTGAAAACGGTGACTTACACAGTGGACCGTTACCCGGATCAACAAGACTTGCACTCGGTGGTCAGGCTATTGTTTAGCGAGAAATTGCGCGTGCTACATCACGCGTGCAACAATCCAGCTACTGTAGAGTTTTATCGTATCGCCAACTATAAAGTGAACGAGTTGGCCAAAGTTAGGGGACAGTTTGTGCACGCGCTCACTGTGGCCGCGCAGCCCGGGGCTAATGTTAGCTTGTCGCAAATTGTCTGGTATAAGTTATTTATTTAGCTAGCTCAATGTTGTAATAGACAATTAGTCAATGATTATTTAGTTATTTATAAAATAAACATCTCTCTCTCTCTCTCTCTCTCTCTCTCTCTCTCTCTCAGCTCCTGAGAGATTGAACTTGCTAAAAGTTAAAAATAGTGGTCTAGCTTAATTTACTTACTTAACACATTATTTTTACAGTTACGACGACCTCTATCGCCGTCAATCATCGGCAGTAGTGATGTCCGCACTGCCGGCCAAATACATCCAAACCCAGGAACGATTGCCCACAACCGCATCCATACTAAACCCGTACATCAAGTATCTGCCCGGCCTTAAAGTGCGCGAATGCAGTTGGCTGTCCACCAATAACACCGAGGACGATTCCTTGTTTTACCGGCAATCAATGGGCCTGTCCATCATCGAGGCCATGGCCAATGTGATCCAGCAGTAATAATTGATTGCAGTTGACAACATAGATTGTTTTGTATTGCAAAATAAAGTTTATATTACTTGGTTAATTTTCTTTATATTAATGTTTATTTATTAAATTATTGCTATGTAAGTATTATACTATCATAACGGTCTAAACAATTATGCTTATAATTTATTAATAATTTTTATTAAAAATAATCTAGGTAATCTTAATAAAAATTAATTTTTGTTTAAGAATACTGTATTACTATATATACAGGTTGTAAAAGAATAAGTGTAGAGGAATTGCGGTAAGAATTTGGCCAACTTCTGGTCACCCGATTCAAACGATTATGGTTTCATTTTAATCCTTATTTATTTAAAAATAATATACAGTTTACAAAATTAAGATATCCTTTAAAACAGCTTCACAATTCTCACCCGTACTTGAGGCCAACTTTTTCAGGTTTTTAGCCATTGAAAACACATTATTACCGATTCGGACAATAATTTCGATAGAAGACATTAACTTGACCAATTTAATAAATTACCATATACCACAACGTAAAAAATAACAAATCAAATTATATAACTCAGTTATAATTATGTCTGGGAAATGTTGGCCAACTTTTCCACCCGAACCACCATGCTGTGTTGTTAAACACAACACTCCTTTGAAAAGTCAAAAATTGGTCATTAAAAAATAAATTCTAGTGGCCACATGGATAACTTTTATTGGGTTGTTTTTGCTTAATCTTCATTTATAACCAATACGGATATAATATTTCTGGGTATTTAAATGTTTTGGTCAGATATTAGTGTCCGAATCGGTAATAATTTGTTTTCAATGGCTAAAAATTTAAAAAAGTTGGCCTCAAGTACGGGTGAGAATTGTGACGCTATTATAAAAGATATTTTAATTTTGTAAACTGTATATGATTTTTAAATAAATAAGGATTAAAATGAAACCATAATTGATTTAATCGGGTTACCAGAAGTTGACCAAATTCTTACCGCAATTCCTCTACACTTATTCTTTTACAAGCAATAATATTTTTTAACATTATTTTATGGCAAAAGAATTTATAAAACTTTTATTTGTTAAATTTTATATTTAACGTTTAATTAGTTAATAAATAATTTACCTTAATTTGAATCTGCAACAAATACCGTAGACCTTTACATATAATACATACATATAATAATACTACATGTAATAATACTATTATTAATACATGTATAAATGATAACTTTATTATAAGGGCCAAACATTTATATTTCTAAAATGTTTATAATATAATGATATTTTATATAATTTTATGTTTAGAATTTGTAACTATATTCTATTGTTAAATTAGATTTTTATTTACTAATTTATTAAAATTTGTACTATTAACTTATAATTTATAACAACATTTTGGTATTTCATTGATAAATAAACTGCATCCACATGTCTAAATAATCGCCGTACCATTATAACCTTGTTATCTATGCAGCAGGTACCTACTCTAATAATATTACATTTTATGCAATATTTGTAATTGCTAATTTTTATAAATATAATTTCATCATGCCTGAAATATAATAATTTGTGCATTTATTGTATGTACAATTACAATATAATTATTTATTCATAATTTTTTACAATTTTAATATTGATAATACAAACTGTAATTTAAATCTGATATTATTTTTCTATGTAACAATTACAACATTTGTTTAAATAACTGGGATCCAATAAAAGGTCATTATTTTTATTAATCAATATATCATGTTACATTTAAAAATTAGTTATGAAATCACCTTGGTCAACTCGCTATTTATTGTCGTCTCAACGAATAATTTTACAATAACCTTGATCAACAAAGGATAGTACGACGGTCAGGCCATTATAATTAATCTAAAAATAGCATTTAATTAATTTATATAATTTTACATATACAGTCTAATCGAAATAACTATACTACTTTGTGCATAAATTTTTTTGATTTTATCACCATGCTCTTATTGTGCAATTGCCTCCGACCTGCAGTCAATGCTTTTTTACCCAGAACGGTAAATTTTACCACGACGAGATGCCGGTTTGTATGCATTACCATGATGAGCTAATAGACGGTGGGACATGTTCAAAAGTACACTGGCACCAGCGTACATCGTGGCGGTATCAGCATATCTAAATTAATATGTTTAAATCTATTTATTAATTCGGCTTTTTATTACATATCATTATTTCGGATTAAATTTTTACTTTTATTTTAATTTCTAAAATAAAAATAATGTCAAATAAATAATGTAGTGGTGAAGTGGGGAACCCACTAAAGTGCCCTTGGTCTTGAATTTTGGTCTTAAATTTTGGTCTTGAATTTTGGTCTTGAATTTTGGTCTTGAATTTTGGTCTTGAATTTTGGTCTTGAAAATAATAGATAAATAATATTTTAAAATAATAGCATGTAGGTTTTTGCTAATTGATAATTATTAACATTATTTATAAGCTATAATTGTTTTATAAAAATATATCATGTAAAACTTAAACTTTTATTGTATGATTAACATGGTGGCCAAATATAATTGCATGTAATATGTTTTTATGAACAATGATGCTTAACAAAATAAATTGAGTTTTGTTATTTATAAATCAGAATGTAAATTCCAAATTATGTAACTTGAATTTTTCTTCGAGTGTTGCGCCAGTTTATTATATATCAAAAATGGGCACATACGAAAGTGCTTATTCTAACTATGTAACTTTTACATTTTCAATATTGCATTATATTAAATATTTATTATTGCTACTTTTAATAAATGTAATTTTTGATATGATTTTATGAAAGTTTAAAATGTAAATTTACTACTGTAATTTAGATAATCATTTATATACGTTGTTTACAATTCCAATGTGAACTATACCAAAGCATTTAGAAGCTGTAATTTATAATATATCTTATATGTTAATTAGACAATTACAATATTTGATTCAACAAATGGTCGATCAGTGTAAGTAATTAAATCTTATTAAATTTAATTTTTATATGTAATCATTCTTGACATTTTTTCAATTTAAATGTCAGATAATGATTAAAATTTACCGAGTAGTTTGTTGTTTAATTTTATTTGATGATTTTATGTTATAACTAGGACATGTATATTTAAAAAAACGTTATATTACCCTAGAAAAGTCCATAGACGAGCCGCGTATGAACACTCCGTACTCTACTTCGGTCTGTTTGGCCAAATCGTCGGCAGAATTAATGGGAGTTACCATTCGCTCCACCTGTAGATCACATGGTGTTAATTAATAAGCAAAATATTTAAAATTATTAATACACGATACTTTTGACTATTAACAAATTAATGTTATTACATTTGAATTAAACGTTAATTATAATTATTTTACGATTAATTTAAAGCATTAGATTATTAATTAACTATTTAACAGTTATATAAAATATAAACCTCACAATAATTGATTAAAAATTAATCATAAAATTTTTACTTTATGTTAATTAATATCTAATAAGATTAAATGCAGNTCACAATAATTGATTAAAAATTAATCATAAAATTTTTACTTTATGTTAATTAATATCTAATAAGATTAAATGCAGTTTTATAATTTAATAGAATTATATAAAATATACATTAACATTTCATACATTTGTTAATTGAGAGAGCACTTGTTATTTGCCAAAATTCTTGAACATAATTATAATGCATACTATTTAATACTTACTATGACTTAATTTACAGTTTTATCATATATTGCTTACCGTTAATTTAAAGTTTCAAAAGACAAACTTACTTAGGACAAACGTTGCATCAATGTGGTTCGCATCATTAATTCATCAATGATAATAATTCTTTCACATTTATAATAATAACTATTGTAATTTTTAACCGGTTAACTCTGGACAACACTGATTATTATTAAATTTTATGGAGTTTAAGATTTATTACACTATCAATTAGATTATTCCTTTTTAAATATATTACGTTTACATTATCCACATTGCATTATATTTAATTGTTGTCATTGCAACTTTTTTATAAATACAATTTGTTATGTGATTTTAATAAACATTAAAAATGTATTGAATTGAGTAATTATTTATATTATTATTTGTGTGCTTTGTCTACAATTTTTAATATTATGTTTATTGTATTCTTTATCAATTAAACTGTAACGTATAAGTAATAAATCATTTATATTACCTATCGCTTTTATTTGTTGTTTTATATGGCCACACCTTACTGTTCCTACTACTACCAAATAACAATTTTGTAGATAACCCTGACCATCAAACGATAGTACCCCGGTCAGGTAATTAATATTATCTTTTAAAATATAACATAATTAATTTGAATAATTTTACAGTTTTAATGTATGTTAAATGTTAATATTTATTACTTGATAATAGATTTATATTAATATTGTTTTATTATTAAAATTTACTAACTTATGTATTATAAATTTTATGAACATTTTTGTTGAATTAAACTCAACATCTTGCAGTTATAATTTAATAATTGCAAAACAATTTTTTATTTCTATAATCCAATGTTTTTTATACAATATTATTATAATGATAAATATAGCTATTTTATAAATTATATACAGTTTAAAATATGAAAATATTTATCATATTTAAATTTTATTTAAAATAGTGTTTATTTAATATGTAATATTAATTGCAATAATGTTTATTACCAATATTTAATTATTTAGCGAATAATAGTGCAGTTTAAAAGATGCAAGTACTTATTTACTAAATTTTGCTTGTATGCTTTTGTCTATTTAATTTTTTGAGCATGAAAATTTTTTGGTTTTTTAAATTTTAATAACAATATATAAATTCAGGAGAGAGAGAGAGAGAGAGAGAGAGAGAGAGGCGGTGCAAAAACAAAATATGAAATCAAAAATATTTCTAAAATATTGAAATATTATAGAATATAATTAAATAAATTATCCTTTCCATTGTTTGTTCCAATTTATTAAATAATTGTTTAGTTGTAATAATAAATGTCAACATTTTATTATTTATT